TCTTAATCAGGATATTAATAAGGAACTAGCAGTTTATGAAGCTTTTGGAATAATCCACCAATTTTTTAAAATTAAACACTATCTAAAGATTTGCATCGAAGCGTTTTTTTTTTATAGTGATTTTAATCACTGTCAGATATCATTATACTTGATCCAACTATGCCACGTCACCACTGTGCCGCGACCCCCCTGTGCTGGGTTTTTAATTATGTATATGTCATGAAAAATGAATTGAATGTGTAAGTGTACACGTTGAAATTTTAATTGTGACTACAATGGATCACAACTCTGTACCTTAAATGGCGCCATAAAACAAAACAAAACGAGGGACACCAAATTACTTAACGAAACATAACGTTACACTAAAGTAAGACTAAAAAATGTATTAAAATATTTTCAAAAATAATAAGAACTATGAATAATAATAATAATAAAAATTATGTTGTTCAATTTTTGTGTCATAGGTGAGTTGAGCTACTAATAAATGTCAACTTAATATTAAATATTGATGTAATTGTAGACTTATAAAGTAATTAAATATGTAATTGAAGTTGGGAGAGTTATTGATAGTCCTTGTAAAACAAATCCTCTTGACAAGTCGTCATATAACTATGATGATACTGGTATGATCTTATAGAAGGCGGTTGCCCATAAATTATAAACTAGAGAAGATGATTTTTGAAGGGTAAAGAAATACAAACAAGTCAGTCCTTACAACTCAATTGAAGACGAAACATCTTAGAAAATGAGCAATTAAGGGGACTTTAATAGATAAAAAAAAAAAACAGAGAAAAAGTAATGACAGACGCATAATAATGATAAACACAGCATGATAAAATTAATACCTCTCGGCTTTATATTTAAGTTAAAACAAATTAAGTTAATAAAAGGCGAAAATCGAATACTCAAAAAAGTCCTTCTAAAATTAAAGGGAACAGAGAATAAAAAAAAAAAATAGAGATTACTTAATAAATTATTACAACACCTACAAACTGTAACATGTGCTTAAGGAACGGTATATTCAATTGAGGCTCAAAACATTAAATAGATAAATAATACATTACCAGTTCGGAGGGACTAAGAACAGCAGATTGGTTGGGCTAACGTCACGAACAAAAATTTCATTTACATAAGTACACTGCAGAAAACATCCGTGAAAAAAAAAATGATAAGTACAAAAATGTTTGAGCGAATACAATAAAATCTCACTTTAACACACTTGACTGTCTGAATTCGTACATAAAAACTGACAACCCAACATTTTGTACCTGCTAGTTAAATGGAACTAAATCAATCAAAACAAAAAAAATTAAAATTTGACCATGTCAAACGATTAACATACAAGAAAATAGTAAGATGGCTAATGACCAGTCACAGTATACCAATGTATATATGGTATATGGAAAAAATGTTTTCTTTTCTCATTGCTCATTGTATACCAAAACACAAAATACATAGTAAAATAAATAAAATGGTTAATTATTTGTCTTGTTACAAATGCATTTTTCGTTAAATCAATTATTTTGAATTAAAAATAATTCTTGGTGCGCTAACTAAATACATTTGAATGGTATTTGTTAACGCATAATTAAAATTAAGTCTCTGGCAAAATAATTTAACTTTGTAGTCAAAATATTTGTCGATTACATTCATGTATCTAATTTGCATAACATGGCGCCTTATTAAATTACTGCTTTCAGTGATCTTATGTTTTCATTTTCCTATTTGATGAAATAGCAAAGAAACGAAAATTTCATTTAAAATTAATATGGTAGTTGAAAGATGAGCTAGTAAAATATATTAAATTATTTAAAATAAGAAAAAATTGTGTACACATTTAGTTTAACTTCATATTTGTTTGGCACTCGTAAATAGATTTTATAGCTTTTTGTTTTAATTCGAAATACATTTTTTCAAATTATTTTAATTGAAACATATATATGAAAAGTTCTAGTACGAGAATGAAGGGTGGTAAGTTTTTAATATTGATGTACTTATAATTTACTTCTTTCTAGTTAAAAGTATTTGTATAAGTTAAGGATTCCTAATATAAACATGACGACCTGTATCTGATTGCACATATATGTAATTGTTATAGTTTGAAGATAATTATTGAGTATTAAAATGGAAGTCAAGTATCTTATAGTAATATGTAAACAATATGACAATGTAATTTATTAAATAATTTGATGTGTCAATTTGATTAACTAGTTTTTATTGGAGAATAGGAGTTTGTTGATTTTTTGTAATTTTAATTTTTAGAATCAGTTCAGCTGAACAAATTCAAGATTAGAGTTTTGAAGTAGAAAAACTATAACTATTATATGATTTGTAGTTTTTCATTGTTTTCAAATTTATATGATAATTAAGCTAAGCTTGATAGTGAATATTGATTAATCTATATTTTTATTATTAGAATATTATATTATTTATCAGAGTATTAAATACTCTGATCAATATTTTGAAATGGAAGCATTCAGTTTTCATAAAATAAAAATTGTATTCTAGAAGAAGATTATATTGTAATGGTATTTCGTTTATTTATTGTTAACCAATTTAGGAGCATTGCACATTTTATGAGTTTTATATACGAGGAAAATGTGAATTACAAGAGATGAATAAACTATCTTCTCATTTTTGAATTCAGGCAGAGGTTCAAGAAGGGAGAAAAGAATGACTATTGAAATTTTAATCGCATAAATGGTGTCTTTTAAGCATAGTAGTGTTATTATTATTTTTTTTAATAGTGGAGGACGAAATGTCTATTAAATATTATATAGAAATATGTTTAACGATTGTATAATAAATTATAGCATTAAAGATAAAACTTCAAGACCCCTCATATTTTCAAAAAAATTACTTTTTATGAATAATGTTTCCTTGTACAAAGATGTAATTATTATAATAATAGCGTTTGTCGATAAACACAAATGGGTCGCATAAATTTAGTTAAATGTAACTTTCTAAAACTTTTAATAAATAAATAAGTTAAGTATAATAATTATAACTTGTATTGATTTTGCAAAAGTTATGTGTTGTGTACTAATTTCTTATTTATTCAAGTTTTCGGGCAAGACAAAATAGGTATAGATTCGTAGTAATTTTGCTAAAAAAAATGTTATACACCTTTTGTAAAGCTGTATCAATATTATATCTTGCAAAGGGCGTTGAACTGTGTGAAGTATTGAGAGATAAATATCAACATTAAACTTAAAAAATGTGATGTGGGTCATTACGTGAAATTAAGTAAAATACAAATGATCAAATTCGCTAAAAAAAAATTGGGTTTGTCAAATAATTATGTGAATGAATATTATAGTTTTGTTTAACATGAAATTGTACGAAACATAATTATTATTGAATGTTACATAAATTTAGCATTAAGTTGATATTTATTACTAGTTGCTATATTAAAAATAAATAATTTTTTTTATATTCATGAGAATAACATGATTTTTATAAACAGTTGTTTATATGACAATGGATACGATCTCTGTTATTTTTGATAAACAGTACTATTTGTGCAGTTTTATAAATTAATTGAAGAAATCACATACTTTTTAATCAGTTATAATATAGATCATTAAAAAATTTTTCTATGACAATAAAGTTATTATAAATTATGTTTTTTAATATTTTATTTTTGTAATTTATGTGTACGTCAGTTTTGTATTTTGTGAAATCTACGTTCATAAAAATTGTTCGTATAATTTTAGAAAAATAAGAGTTTTATACCTACGTTTTATTCATTTCTTAACCCCAAATAAAATTACTATTTAAAATCAAGTAATGGATTGTTGCACGAATGTTTAGAAGTTTTATTAGGTAACACAAATAATAACAGCAGAATAAAAAAAAATAATCGATAAATTTATGTATGTAAAACTCTCACTGTTTCCACATTTATTTATGTGATTAGTGACTGCCAATTCTGGACGACACTGACATGTTGCTTTTTTGTTACTTCGGTCCATTGTGCACATAGATCCATTGAAATTGCAATCTTCGTTAACCTCACACTTGTCACCGAATTTCTTTTCCGTGTTAGACACGTCTGTAAAAAAATATTGGAATTCGAGTTAATTACAACATTTTTTTCTCTTAATATTTAAAAGCGTATTTTTATATTTAAATAATTTTTAAAATCAGTGATAATTAATTATTATAATAATGTTTAACTGTGAGACGAATCATTTTGGAAATTATGGAATGCTTTTATATCAATAAAAATGCATATTTGTACTACTTTGTACCAAATTATAAGTAACAAATGAAATGCATAATACTCATAAGCTTTCGAGAGTTAAAAAAATGTGTAACAACACGAATTGTATTTTATTACCAAATGAAAAACTAATATTCGGGTGTTGAGATATTTCTGTACTGATTCTTCTACCTATTGAAACGTAGATTACATTTATCAGTCTGTTATTTTCAAGTACGTGGAGAGTTTAGATTTGACAGTTGTGAAAAATTTATCGTTTTTGACCGCTATTCTTTTAAAAATACATCTGAGCAGAATTCTAATTGACTTAAACTACAGGTCTTCCATGTATTACGCTAGTGCAATTTCGCTACAAAATATTTCATATGCTTTGACTAGACAACACGAGCAATTTCATCTTTATAATTTTCGTTCACTACACATTAGAAAAACTAGTAGTAAGAATATAGAACATAAAATTGTTACAGAATAAAAATAAAAAAGTTATTGCTCTTTGAATTTAGTGTAGTGCAGTTTATTTAAACACAGCGGGTTGGGTTGGGTCCCGTCCATCATTGGTTTAGCTAAGAACTCTCTAACATGTGAAAGAGGGCCACCAACCTCTGTAGTATGTCAAGTGTGGGAAATAGAACCGTTAATTTTTTCACAATTTATTTAAACGAGTAATGTAATTAATTTCATTAGTGAATAAAAGTTATTAGTAGAGTTAAGTATCAATATGAACCGTTGTGCGATTTATTTATTGATACTTATAAAGGTCATTGTATTTATTGTATAAAGGTCATGTTTTACAGAAATTCATACGAATGATAGTATTTTAGTACCAGGAACTTATGAGAATCGTCGGTATAATTAATAATTAATATTCCCACCAACCTATTAAATAATGTTAGTGTCAATGAGTGTCTATAGCATTTCACAGGCGTCCATACGCTCGAGTAGGTGGCCATATGAAAGTTGCTCGCGACGTTTAACTCCTTATACCTGGTCATAATGTCCACATCGCTTTACGATCACGTATATTATCCTTATGGATTCCTGGTACTAGATTTTGATATTCGTTATAAAATGCTTGTAACTAAGATATCGGACTATGTTAACAATGTAAACTTGTTGTGCGATACCTCATGAATTCCTGGTATTGTAAAATAGGGCTACGTTACACCACAATACATCAAAAATGTATAACCTCACTAGGTATTGTGGGTTAAAGATACGAATGGTAGTATAGTACATACGATACTAGTTAAAACATTTCAAATTAATTTTCTGGAGAAAAAAAAATGTTGGTCTAACATTATTTATTTGAAAGTATAGATTGTGAAGAATTGTTAAAATTAAAATTGTTTTTACTTAGGATTTTTCAAAATAATTTTTATCTTTACGTTTGAAAAATGATATTATTAATATATATATATATATATATTATTCAAATTTCTTAGTTTAATAAAGGCTTAAAAAAGATCATTTGTTTTTTTTTAGAATACAAAGTTGGTACGTATTTTTATTGTACAATATACAATTTTTATCAGTTAAAAGTTTATCTTTGGAAATTAGTATAAAAAATATATTTGAAAAAGTTTCAGTTTTATATTACATTTTCTGAACGTATTAATTTATAAATACTTGCTGCGGATTGGAATTTTTTATAATCTCTTGTAATATTGCCTTTGTGAATTGAATTTTAAATCGTATTTATAAATAATTCAATTTTACCATTCCGTAGGTTTCCGATTTGTTACATAACTATAAAATTCGCTGATTTATATAAAAGCTTTGTTGATTAATTCTTTCCTTTTAGTTCATTAAATCTATTGATACTAAGAAAATATTCTAAAAAACTAACGAAAAGTTTAAATTTCTTAGATTTGTCTTGATTTACCTAAATAAAATTCAGACTAAATTAATAGAAGAAAAAGTTACTTTTATTGCTTTTTTGAAGTTAGTACGATTGAAAAAATTCTACAGAATATCTATGAGACTGTTAATTTTAAATAATGCTTATAAAATAGTTTATGGAAACTGGTGAACGACACCACTGTATTTAACTCAAAAAATTTCCTAGTCTGATTGTAGTAACATATAGTTAGTAGCTTTAAAAAAAAATAAAAATCTAAGTAAAGTCTTTGTGAAATATAACATTTTTGATACAATATTATTAATAAATATTCAACATAAAATAATTAATTACAATTTTTCATGTTAGCTAATTATAAATATTTTTACATTAAAATTATAGAATAAGTTGCCAGAGAACAAATATGTTTTAACCTTACGACTATGATGCCAAATATAAATTAATAAAGAACTTTAAAAGATAAAAAACTTTTAATTGTTCATGCCCAGTGAAGTCACCCTAGTAGTTGTGGTAAAATAACAGATATTCTGACCAAAATGATAATTTATGGTAGGTATAGCCTGTTGTTGATAATGATCTTAAATGTTGCCATTTGAACCCCTTTAGTTATATGATTAATTAACGTGTTGAATACGATAAACTATACGTTATAATACGGTAAACCTAAACTATAAAATGTAAAACCAAAATTAATTTTTTGAGTATCATCAAGTTATAATAAATAAGGTATCTCTTAAGTTTCAATTAAAATATGTATATTATGGTTAATTCAACAAATAAATTTTATTTGAAGTTGGTGGAAAATTTAAGGTTTTCAGTATTATGGTAAATTAGAAATAATTTTTTTTATCACGTACATTATATGAAAATTTATTTGAATATAATTAATAAAATTATTCCATAAATAAACTTTTGTGATAAATGATTGAGTTAATGATTATTTATACCATCATTTTTCCATATAAGTGTACTCATCATAAAGACAGTTTTAATAATACTTATGCCAAAAAAACGGTTTATTAAATTAATCTCAGGGTTAATTTCCGGGTTGTATTGTAGATAATTAATTATTTTCAGTTTAGGTCAATGTGTAATAACGCATGACGAAACACGAAGCAAAATATTAAAGGTTGACCAATGTTTGAACTTTTTTTAGTAATGACTAAACATTTTTAACTAAGAAATGTAAATAAAAAACAATATAGTTGTTACATTTTTAAATTATACATTACAAAATTTCTATTTAAAAAAAGTAAAATTAACTATATATTACTAATTTGATATAATATTATTTATAAATTAATATTATATTATCATTAAAAGATTAAAGGGAATTATTGTTTTATTAATTATTATTTATAATTCAAAAAATAAATATTATTGCGTATAAAATAATACACAGTTAGGTTTTATAATAATATTTACTTTAGAAAGATTCTAATCAATCAAAAGCAATTAGATTTTAAATTTGTCTATTTTGTTTCTACAATGGTACGTGGAACTTATATTAGTTTTAGAATCTAGATCATATTCAAATAATAAACAAAAATATATTTTAAAGTTGAAATTATTACAAGTACTATAGTTTAATTTATAAGTATATTTCTTTAAGTGGTACTACGTTTCTGTTAAGAATATTTCATAAAGTAATAGAAATAATGAGCTTAAGACATAGATATTTTAGTACAATAAAGCCAAACAATGATAAACAAATTGATTAGAACTTGCGTGCGTTTTACTAGTAAATCCTAAATTATTTGGCACGCTTTCATATTGTATATATATACTTTGTTTTGCATTAAGTGCTTTAAGGGTTTGGGTAAAGATCAATGGCTGCCCTGACACATACTACTACAACAGCGCATGCGAATGATATCTGATATCTAGTATGTATATTTCAAAATGCTAAGTATTATTATGATGGCATTACCTTAACAAGTAAAATATTTAACTATCATGTTTAAATCTGACATATTTTAAATTTTTTCAATTCATAAATTTTGATTTTTAAATGTTTAATTTTAAAGACAATTAACATAATTGTTAAAAACAATTAGTACCATAATTTAGGGTTAATTTATTGAAATATATTACATTGTAAAGTTTAATGAGTGAAGATGGGAAAAAAATAATTTTATTTATAATATTGGTTGGTTAAAGTTCTGTACAACAAAAGTAAAAAGTTACGTATAAAATTTAAATATAAGAGACAGTAAATTTTTGAATTCAATTGTAATGGGATTGGTTTTTTGCATCAGACTTAGATAATCAGTACTTTCAAATTTATTTATTCTTATTTTTTCTATACACTATAAATATACATTGATTTTAGAACAGAAACTTTATGCGATGATATGAATTTACGGCTGTTAGACTTTTTTATTTTTGAAAATTTGTATAACAAATATTAAAATACGTTACCTGCATCTTGTTGGGGTAAAGATAATACCGAAGTAGTGATAACGGTTGAACCAGCCACCAACAGGAGCAGAACATAATGGTTGGCTAGCATAGCACACCCAGCTGCTTGTATTGCACGTCAATTTCTTTTGCCTGTGGTCACATACTAAAGTAGATCAACGGCACCTGAGTACGTAAAAAAAATTGAAAATTGGTATTTATAAAATTAATGAGTGGACAGAAAGTTATGCGCTTTTCAACAAAAAATAATTTAACACTTGAATGATGAAATAGGCTGTGCTCACGCCTTTTGACTTATTCGTATGCAAAAATTACTAGACCATTAAATTTATGCTTGCAAGAGATAAATGAGGATGCATTTATCTCTTTTAACTGCATTAGTAGTTGGTTGTACAAAAAAAGTGTTGAAATTTTTATTTTGCTCTGTGAAAATCAGAGAACATAAAAATTATCAAGTAAAATCGTATTTGACTCTATGATCATAAATACAATGTCAGACTTTTTATATCAATGAGTAAAATAATTTAATCTGATGTTTTATAGCCTGTCTTCATAACATAAAATTTTATATTATACTGATTTCATAAGTAGGCAAAATTATTTTACTATGAAAATCAAATGTGCAGGCAAAAAACTAAGGTATCTCATAAACATTTGAGATGAGTTTTGATGGTTATCTATAGAAGATAATCGAAATTACAGGAAATTGTTTTATAATTTTTATAAATGATATTTAAATGCTTTAAGTATGCTTGAGCATGTATACTAATAAATCATAAATATTTCATAATAATTATATTTAAGTACATTACATTCTACAGCTTTTATTATATGTATTTTTCATCTATGAATCGAATGATCATTAGTATTAAAAATATACTTTCTGATTTCTTATTAAATGTTGTTTTTTTATGCAATTTATTTTTTATATTTTGAGATGTGTGATACATAATGTGTAATACAAAATTATTAAAATATTGTAGAATTGTTGAAATACTCTCCATTTATAAAGCGTCAAATCAAATTTATATAAACATATTAAATGTATAACTCTTATATCTCTTATATCTCTTCATTGAACTTTTAAATTGACTATACAACAGAGTGAAATTTAAGACATTATTCCATTACTTTTATTAAAATTAGTGAATTTGGATTGACATAATATAATAATATTATTAATAGCTTATTTTGTCAAACCAAACCGAACCCAATAATAATTTTTAAAAAATTATTTTCAGTGAGCGTTATATTGTATACTAACAGAAAACCCAATACAATAAACTGGCTTAGCAAGGAAAAGCATATTTGAAATAAGCTTAAATTAAAATCGCCACCATAAAACTAAGCTTCAATGGAAATATGCATGAGATAAGCGAATTTTTTTTTTTATGAGACGGAAATGTATAAGTTTCAAAATAACCGATTATATATATATTTTCATATAGTAGCTAAATTTATCATTTGACAGTATTTACAGTTTCTAATAAAATATAAATATATGTATAAGGCATTTCCTGATATAATTGATATTACCTCAGCATTAACTATAAGTATATTAAAATTGATCAAAAATTTTGATAAAAAAAGCCGGTATTTTTTAGTTCACAGGTATAATAAAGTTTTCCATATTTTTTATTTTTATTGAATAGACAAAATAAATAAATATATTTCCATATAAGTGTACTCATCATAATGACAGTTATAAGAAAAGTTTTTTCGTTATATAAAAAAAATAATTTCAAGACAAATTCTTATTATTTCCAGTATAAAAGTTATTAAATAATAATAAATAGTTTACACGCTATGTTCCTACGAATCACCCGTAGTAAAATGAATTTCATTGGTTTAAACTAAAATACTTGCATGCTGCTTTAACTTTAATGATTTACAAAAAAGTCGTAATATCAAAACTTATCATGGGTAATATAGTAGTACAACTATAATTATAATTTTGTAAAATTATTTTTAACTTATCATGTTGGTTTACCATACAATTTTAAAAATAAATCAAAGAAACCTGTTACATATGTAACAAGTTTCATCATTTCATTTCTGTTTATTAAGTTATCTATAACAAACAGCATGAATAACATCCGAAATAACTTTAAAGCTCTTTGAGGCTTGTTTAACCTCTGGAGAATTACACGAGGTGGTCTGAATACAAATGTGTTATTCAGTTTGTAATTTTTTTCGTACTAATATTTACAGCCTTAGGCGTAAGTTTTTTNAGTACTAATATTTACAGCCTTTGGCGTAAGTTTTTTATTCCTTTGTGATGAACTCAGACATAGGATCTCATGTATAATGGAATAAAGTCTATATAGTAATCAAATATTGATGATGCACTCATCTAGTTATAATAGTTTCTTGTAATTTTTACGATTATATTTTTCAAGTTTTTAAAAATAAATAAAACTAGAAACGTTGGTGCTAACAGAGACATCTCAAAAACTATGTCTCGAGTTAGTTTATATGATTTAAAAAATAGCTGTAATATGAATTCTGTTGACGCCAAAGGATTGATTTTGTAGATAGTAAACACCTTTTAAAACGAAAATAGAAATATACAAAAACTATTATTACGATACTAATATTTCACTATTACTAACACATCTAAATATTCCATTTTAACTTATATAATCTGAGATAAATATTATATTATATAATAAATGTCTGACTGACAAATACATAAATCCATGTACAATTTTACTACGTGAATACAAAACGTCTAGTATTATTTTACAACTAAGTTCAAAAAGCTAAGCTTCCTTTTGTGAGCATGTGTCTCTATATATAATTCACTAGCTACACAAAATTAGACGTAAGTAAAATATTATTCTATTAAGTGTTAACTAGAGCTCAGTGTGAGTTTTAATTTTAAAGTATGGTTTTTTGGCTAAAATTATCATTTCATCATAACAAATATATTACAGTTCCCTAAAAATATTCGATTAGAACTGCATGAGTACATTGTTAAATTACCTATTTTTTTTTGTATCAAGTTATTATATTTTGGTTATATTAAGTTTGTATTTTCATCATTTTTTAATCTATTGGAATTTAGGGCGTTTACATTTAAACACATAGGAATATAATGTAGCTTAGTTAATCGTTTACCGGAAACTTATTAGCTTATAACCCAGATCGCCTATATGTTTATATCCGCTCAGACCCAGCACAAACACATTTTTTTTAAATCTGATTTAATCCTGACCAATTACATATCTATGTAATTGGTAAATAGAAATTTTTTACAGATACTAAAGAACAAAAATAAAACTA